GGCCTCTGGTGTCCACTCGAGTCCTTCTTTGGCCCCTAGATGCAGGACAATCATTCGATCACGTGCTCAGTCAATGGGTTCTCACTTTGATGACAGAGATCTGCCCACTTGTCCAAGGGCAGGATCCATGGAGGTCGATCGATCTTCATCTAGTATAGAAAAATGGTGTGGTCATAAACTGAATGGTTCTCCACCCTGTTCTCCTCCACCTACAAAAACATGGCCACTTTAACACAGTGGTACTGTCCAGGTTTTCGTTCTAATTTTGATGACATTAAGATCTTGATCGACTCCTATAATCCCGTGTGTGTTTCCTTACAGGAAACATTTCTGAAACCTGCCAATACAGTCACCTTTCAGCAGTTTTCTTTATACTGGAATGACAGGTTGTGTGATGGATGGGTGGCATTGTTGGTCGACCAGCATGTGCCCTCCTTATCTGTGCCCCTCGATACACCCTTGGAGGCCATAGCCATCCCCGTTTTCTTGGGTCATACCAGCACTGTTTGTCCTCTCTACCTGTCTCATGGGGAGGCTTATGATCAGTCAGACCTTGATGCTTTCGTTGACCAGTTGCCATCTCCCTTTTTTACTTCTGGGAGACTTTAATGGACACAACCTTCTCTGGGGTGGTGCTGATATTGATGGGAGGGGTCATTCCGTAGAGCATATGCTCTCAGATCACAACCTTTCTCTCTTCAATACTAGAACATATATTTATTTTTATGCACCTAGTGAGTCTTTTAGTGCCACTGATCTTTTGATTTGCTCCCCTTCACTTTCACTCACTTTTCTTGGATGTTCTACAGTGACCCACCAGGCAGTGATCATTTTCCAATCATTATGAGGGAGGTTGGCCATGGTCGATGCCACCTGACTCGAGTGCCATGGTGGAAGTTGGACCAGGCTGACTGGCCATCTTTCATCTTTTTCTCACAACTTGATCCTGCCTTTGTTTGTTTGCCATCAATAGACGACTGTGTAGTTGCAGTGACTGACTATATCATCCAGGCAGCTGCTCATTTTATTCCTAAGACCTCGACACGTTTTCTACGGTATCCTCGTCCATGGTGGAGTTCTGCCTGCCAGGAGGCACAGAAGGCTCAAAAATGGGCCTGGAATAGCTTCCGACGATATCCCTCTCTTTCTAGCCACATTGTTTATCAGTGGGACCGTGCCCATGCTCAGCAGGTTCGACGTCAAAGCCAAAAGGAGTCTTGGATTAAGTTCACTACTAGCATCTCTTCTACCACCTGTTCCAAAACTGTACAGGACAAGATTCGTAAAATCACTGGGAGGTATGCTTCCCGTCCCCTTTCCAACTTGCTCTCTAATGGCCAGGAAGTTCCTGATGTCCAGAGAATTGCTGGTTCTCTCGGCCACAGCTTTTTTCGTGCTTCTAGCACGTTTGTTTCTTCCTCTGCCTTCTTGGCCATCAAGTCTCTTTCCTTTCAGGCCAATCGTCTCTCTGACTTTACACTGGTGGAACTCAATCTCGCTCTTCATCAGTCTGGTAGTACATTGGTCGGACCTGATGATGTTCATTATGAGATGCTGCGCCATCTCTCTCCTGCCTCTCTTGCTATTCTTCTGGTTATTTTAACCGGATCTGGCAGG